AAGATATTATGGACAGCAAAATCTAAGTGATAGGGCCAGCCCGTGGCTCACTCGGGAGAGTGTGGTGCTGATAACATCAAGGCCACAGGTTTGGATCCCTATATAGGGATGGCCGGTTAGCTCACTGGCTGAGCGTGATGCTGACAACACCAAGTCAAGGGTTAAGATCCCATTACCGGTCATCTTTAAAAAAAATAAATAAAAATAAATAAATAAATAAATACAATCTAAGTGATGGGTACAGGAGTGCTTATCAAGTTTGACTGGTTCTCAAACTTGATCGCACATCAGAATCTCCTGAATGTGCTTGTGAAACACAGGTTCCTGGGCTGTAACCCCTGAGTTTCTGGTTCTGTCAGTCTGGGGTGGGGTCCAAGAATTTGCATTTCTAACAAGTTCTCAGGTGATGCTGAGCTGCTGCCACTGCTGGTCAGAGGACCACCTTTTGAGAACCATCAGACAAATTGTCTCTCTCTCTCTCTTTTTTTTTTTTTTCCTTTTTGTCTTTTTTCATGACCGGCAACGGATCGCAACCCTCAGTGTTGTGCCCGTACCGGACCGGGACCGGCAACGGGATCGCAACCCTCGGTGTTGCGCCCGCACCTCGCTCAGCCAGTGAGCGGAACCGGTCTGTATGTGGGATCCGAACCCTCGGCGGGAGTGCCGCCACACTCCCAAGCGGCGCACTGTAGCAGTGCGCCACCGGGCCGACCCTGAATTTTTTTACAATAAAAAGTAAAAAATCCATATGCATGGGTAGGAGGGGGTTCCTGAGGGAGGAGGCCTGAGGGGGGACTTGGAGGGAGGAGGAGATGAATGAAAAGATGCTGAGGACAGCTTGCCTCTGACCTGGATTTCCTCAGGCTGAGCCAGGGTCCCCAGGGTAATGTGCTCCGGGGCTGCTCAGGCTGCCCTCCAGGCACTGTAGTGGGCAGCCTGGGCCTCTGGGGAGCATGGGACAGAGCCAAGCATGGGAGTTGCTAACAGCAAGAACTGGCTCTGTGGAGTGAGGAGGCATAAGTGGGGAAGGAAGGAAAATCTGGGAGTGAGGGGTTGGCATTAGCACAGGGTCCTAATCTGGGCAGGGAACCTAGATGGGGGCCAAAGGTGGGAAGAGGGGCCTGGTGCCATTGATGAGGGGGCTGAAGAGGAGGTAGAAGTTCAGCTCCAGAACACTGGGCTAGATACCGTTTGAGGAGATGTATGTTTTCTTCTTTTCTTCTTCAATGGTGGGTGATTGTGGTGGTAGCAGGCATTTCGAGTGTGGCTAGGGCTGGGCCTTCTGGTGGAAAGGAGGCTTGGAGTATGAGGTTGGGGTGGATCAGTCTTCCATTTACTCAAATTTGGTTCCAAGATCTCCCGGGGTGAGATTCAGGGCTGGTTGGGAGGAGCAACCTACTTACAGAAAAGTGAGTCCTTGCTCAAGTCATTTTACCTCTCTGTGACATAGTTTCCTCACCTGCAAAGCGAGGATTATAATAACACCTACCTCCCAGGGTTGGGGGCAGGGAGGGTTTAGTAAGTTAATGCTCATTGAACACTGCCACATATTAAGTATCACACAATTGTTAGCTACCATTATCACCATCATTATCATCATAATCATCACCACCATCCTCCTCATCACTAAAATCATCACCACCACCACTTTCATCATTACCATCACTATCACCACCATCACCACCACCATCACCATCATCATCAAATCCCTGGTGAAGCTGTATCCAAGCAGGATTGTCAAGTGGTAGAAAACATGGGGTCTGAACTCAGACTGCCCAGGGGTGTATCTGCTCATTAGCTGTGTAACCTTAGACAGGTCATTGAACCTCTCTGAACCTCTTTGTCTGTAATATAGGGACAAAGACAGAACCTACTGTGTAGGTTTGTTGGGAGCATTAAGTGACATATCATATGTCCAGGGCTTAGGTAGACTGGCCCACAGCAAGGTACTGCTGTGTCACATGGTGAGGGGAGAGTACAGGGAAAGGTGGGAGGGGGCTGGGAGGGAGAGAGGGTGGACTAGAGCAGAGACCTGAAGGATGCAGAGGTCCCCAAGCTGACCTCTGGGCAAAGGCATTGCTAGGCAAAGAAAATAGCATATGCAAAGGCCCAGAGGCCAAATGGTAAAAGGACAGATGGGGAACTGAGGCTGGCAAGGGGAACAGGGGCTGATGGAGCACAGTCTTTGTCCCAAGGGTAATGGGGAGCCATGGGAGGTACTTGAGCAGGAGAGGGACTGAGTATGGTGTCTGGGTTAGAAAGGCCTGCCTGGCAGCAGCCAGTGCCAGCCTTGCCTCTAAAAAGCTGCAGAGAGGCCGGCCCGTGGCTCACTCGGTAGAGTGCGGTGCTGATAACACCAAGGCCACGGGTTCGGATCCTTAAAAAAAAAAAAAGCTGCAGAGTCAGATCCCAGCTCCCTACCCTCATTCCCCACATCCTGGTCTAAATCATCATCCTTCACCAGGATCATTGCAGTAGCCTACTTGCTGGTTTCTCACTTCCAACCTTGCCCCCTACACAGTCTATTCTCCATGAAGCACCTAGAGGGATCCTTTCAGATCTTACCACCAACCTTCTTAGAGCCCAAGTCCTTCCAGAGGCCTACAAGGTCTCCATGACTGGGCCTGTTTCTTCTTGAACCCAGTTCCCTCCCTACTCTCCTTTTCACTCTTTTCCAGCCACACTGGCTTTCTTACTGGTCCTCAAGCATGCCAGGTATGTTCTACCTCAGGGCCTTTGCATTTGCCATTCCCCCTGCCTGGATGGCTCTTCCCTCACCTCCTTCAGGTCTTTATTCAAATGTCACCTCAGCGAGGCCTTCCCAGGACTTCTTCCTTAAAATGTCAACCCCTCCTCCAGCTCTCCCTCCCTGCCGTATTTGTCTCTCCATAACACTCATCACCTTCTGACATAGTAATTTGTAAAAATTGAGGTAAAATTTATGGGATATAAAATTGTTTTTTTAGGGCTGGCCCGGTGGTGCACTGCTACAGTGCGCCGCTTGGGAGCGTGGCGGCGCTCCCGCCGAGGGTTCGGATCCCACATACAGACCGGTTCCCGCTCACTGGCTGAGCGAGGGGCGGGCGCAGCACCGAGGGTTGTGATCCCGTTGCCAGTCCCGGTCCGGTACAGGTGCGACACTGAGGGTTGCGATCCATTGCCAGACACGAAAAAAAGACAAAAAAAAAAATAATAAAAAAAAAAATAACGGGTGCGACACTGAGGGTTGCGATCCGTTGCCAGACACGAAAAAAAGACAAAAAAAAAAATAATAAAAAAAAAAATAAAATAAAATTCACTTTTTTTATTTTGGCAACTGGCCAATATGGGGATAAATTCACCATCTTAAAGTGTGCGTGTGCAATTCAGTGGCATTTACGATGTTGCACAACCACCACCTCTAATTCCATTTCTAATTTCATCACTCCAAAAAGAAACCCCTTACCCATTAACAATCACTCCTCTCCCTCCAGCCCTGGTTTCTGTCTCTATGGATTTGCCTATTCTAGATAGTTCATATATGTACATGGAATCCTACATTATGTGCCCTTTTGTGTCTGACTTCTTTCCCTTGGCATCTTTTTTTTTTTGTTTTTGGTGGCTGGCCAGTATAGGGATGAACCCCGGACCTTGGAGTCAGCACCACGCTCTAACCAACTGAGCTCAGCAGCCAACCCAGCATCACGTTTTTAAGGGTCATTCACATAGTAGCATCATACCATATCGTTTACTTATTCGTTTTGGTTATTTATGTCTGCCAGCCCCAAAGAAACACAAGTTCCATGAAGGCAGGGAATTTTATCTGCTTTGCTCACTGAGTAAAGTCCTGGCACAGGGCTGGTACACAGTAGGTGCTCAATAATTGCACATTGAGTGTCTCTCACATCCTGAAGTCTAATCCTCTCTGTTGTGTCTGGGACTGGCCTCCCCCAAACCAAAGGCTCTGGCATCTCCTCCCACCCTCTGTCCAGCTCCCCCCTCCCCCACCGGCCCCCTCACCTGCAGATCTGGTTGTGGAGGAACCTCCTGTGGTTGGGCCTCCTCTTGGGGGGCCTGGTGCGCCTGGGCTGCAGGGCCCGCAGCATGTGGGTGGCTGCCCCACTCACGAAGGCACACAGTTCTCGGGGGCTGGGCTCAGACACCCCGGGGGCTGCAGGAGCCCCCGGGTGCATGGCTGGCCAGTGTGATCTGGAGTAACTCCCCACAATACTGCTTAGAAAGCACTCCACCCCAACTCTGTAAGGAGGGAGGGGCAGGCAGACTGGGGTGAGGGGAGGTGGGGCACTGGGAATTAGGATAAGGCCTCCCTCCTGGGCTCAAACCTCATCCCTACCTCCCAGGAGCTGGACCCGAGGTTTGAGGGATCAGCAAGTGGGGGGCTGATATAGGAAGGAAAGGGGACAGGGAGAGGAGGGGGCTTTCTGTGCCCCCCAGTTGCCCAATTAGCACATAGCTGGAGCTGGGATATGGGACAGGGGTGCGTAGGTGGGGGGGGCCAGAAAAAAGCTCCTGGAGATAGCCAATTAAGGGGACAAAGGCCTCATTAGGGAGGCGAGGGCAGAAGCTGAGTCAACTACAGCGATTAGTGTTGAGGACCCTTAATTGGAGTCTTGGGAGGGGGCGTGTGGTGGAGGCTTGGGCGTGAGCTGGGAAGGAGAGGGAGACCGCTCCTGGGCCCTGCATCGGCTTACCCACCTCCAGACACATCTGCCCGCCCCTCCCTCCCTCTGCTCCAGGCCCAGCACCTTTAAGGGGAACTGAGGATCGAGAAGGGCTCGTGAGAGCCCAAGGTCTCCAGTGGGCAGGAGGGGTTGACTTCTGCGGGGTCGACGCCAAATCCTGATGTTCAAACCCGAGCTGGTGGAGTGAGCTGGGGAGAGGGGAGGCGGGTGAGGTGAGGGGCTGTCCCCAACTCCTCCACCTTCCGTTACCCCCACCTCCCCACCCACTCCCCAGCGCAATGGCATCTGGCTGTGGTGGGAAAGGAGAAAACACAGGCATGGTTTACCCCAAGGTATTTTATTGTGGGATTCGGAGCCCCTGGTGTTTGTGGGAGGCAGAGAATGGGCTGAGATGTGGGCAGGGTGGAGGGGCTGGGTCCTCTTGTTTCTGGGAGGGTGTTGGTCCAAGTCAGGGCTGGGCTGGTAGGTGTGGCAGCCTCAGTGTTTGCTCTGACCTTCACCCATACAGACTTGCGTTGGGAAGCATGTGAGGTTCCTCTGGCTGCTGTAACAGATTACCACAAATTTAGCGTTTAAAACAATACACCTTGGGCTTGCCGGTTAGCTCAGTTGGTTAGAGCATGGTGCTGATAATATTAAGGTCCAGGGTTCCATCCCTTTATCAGCTAGCTGTCAGAAACAAAACAAAAAACCCCACAATTAGGGGCTGGCCCGTGGCTCACTTGGGAGAGCGTGGTGCTGACAACACCAAGTCAGGGGTTAGGATCCCCTTACCGGTCATCTTTAAAAAAAAACCCACAAAAATCCCATAATTATTTTCTTGCCATTCTGAAAGTCAGAAGTCCAAAATTGGTTTTGTAGGCTTAAAACAAGGTGTTCCCTCTGGGGGTTCTAGGAGAGAATCCAATCCTTTCCTTTTCCACCTTCTAGAGGCTGCCAGAATCCTTTGGCTTGTGACCCCTTCCTCCATCTCCAAAGTGCATCACCCCAACCTCTATTTCTGTTGTCATCCCATCTCCTTCTCCAACTCTGACCCTCCTGCCTCCCTACCCTTAAAATGACATTTCATCAGACCCCCCATCCCCCACCCCAAGTTAACCCAGGATAATCTCCCTATCGCAGGATCCTTAACAATTCCATCCCTTATTCAGTTGATCACAGGAGGGGAGACTCAGGCTCAGTAGTGGCTCTTCCTGGGCTCCCTTCAAGTTCATGGTTCACTCAGGCCTGTGCTTCAGCTGCAGAGGCAGGGCTTGGAGCTGCCTTCAGCGCCCCCAACATATGCGCATGGAGAGAGACCCAGAACAGTAAGGATGTTTCCCATCCCCCCCAGTCCCCACCCTCTCCAGTGCCTAGACCCTAAGCCTGGGTTTAGGAGCTTATGGAGCAACTGACTGAAAACACCACCCTACCCCACCCTCAAACCTGGCACTGGACAGGAAGGATGGACCGTCCCTATTTTCTGAAGGAAAACTGAACTCCCCCAGAGTCACAATGGCAGAGCTGGAATTTAATTCATGGTTATTCTCAGTCTTACTGTGAGAGGGGGGATGGGTGTGGGGGGTAAGTGGGAACCCCTACCCAAACCCTCTTTCCTGCCTTTGGCGGGGGGTGGGGGGGCTGTGGCTCTCACATCTCCTCTACGTGAGCCCAGACAAGGTTTGTTTCCCTTTGGGCTCTGGTTTCCCCATCTGCAAAATGGGGCCAGGTAGGGCCAGGTTAGTGAATGTCACTGAGGATGAGTGGCTGGCCAGCTGGGCCCTGTCCTGCACTTGTTTCCTCACCTGTTTTTCGATGGCCTGCTTCATGGGGCTGCTGAGAGGATTGAGCAAGTTATATGCACAAAATGGGTCTGGGACTAGTGGGTAATAGCATGACTCCAGAGCCAGAGGACCTGGGTTCAAATCCTGGCTCTGTTACTGAAGTGGAACCTGTGAGTGTGACCTTATCTGGGAAAAGGATTGTGTGAGTTTGCTAGGGCTGCCATAACCAAGTTGCACAGGCTGGGTGGCCTAAACAGTTCTGGAGGCTGAAAGTCCAATATCAAAGTGTCAGCAGGGCTGGTTTCTTCTAAGACCTCTCCCTGGCTTGTAGAATGGCCATCTTCTCCCCGTGTCTTCATATGGGTTTCCCTCTGTGTCCTAATCTCTTCTTGTAAGAAGAGACAGTCGTGTTGGATTAAGGCCCACACTAATGACCTCATTTTACTTAATTATCTCTTCCAAGACCCTGTCTCCACGGCCATCTTCTCCCCGTGTCTTCATATGGGTTTCCCTCTGTGTCCTAATCTCTTCTTGTAAGGACACCAGTCGTGTTGGATTAAGGCCCACACTAATGACCTCATTTTACTTAATTATCTCTTCCAAGACCCTGTCTCCAAATACAGTCACATTTTGAGGGACTGGGAGTTAGAACTTCAGCCTATGTGGGGCGGGGGGGGGGGGGCTTTTTAGACCATAAGGATCTTTGCAGAAGTAATTAAGTGAAGGGTTTTGGGATGAAAATATCCAGTTTGGGCTGCCATAACAAAATACCACAGACTGGGTGACTTAAACAATAGAAATTTATTTTATTTTCTCATGGTTCTAGAGGCCGGAAGTCCAAGATCAAGGTGCCAGCTGACTTGGTTCTTGGTGAGGGTCCTCTTCCTGGATTGCAGATGGCCACCTTCTCACTGTGTCCTCACATCGTGGTTGGGGGAGGGAAGGGGAGGGGGAAGCGAGAGGAAGAGAGAAAGAGAGCTAGCTCTTCCTCTTCTTTTAAAGCCACAGTCCTATCGGATTAGGGCCCTACACTTATGACTTCATTTAACCTTAATTACCTCCTAAAGGCCCTATCTCCAGAAACAGTCACATTGGGAGTTAAGGCTTCAACATATGAATTAGGGGGACACAATTCAGTCTATAGCACCTGCCCGATGATGTTGCCAGAGGTCCAGTTACCTGTGCGTGTGTTGTGGGCAGCAAAGCACAGGGAGACTAGTTGCAGCAGGACAGCCAGACATCTCGTGTGGTCCTCTAGCCATGGCAGGTACATGTTGACTGTTAACCCTCCCATGTCCAGTATCACCCCTGCATGGGGTGGTGTGCCACAGGCAGGGGTGTGGGGCTGGTGTGGCAGGTGTCTGTGTCAGGGATATGGAGGACCTCCTCTGTTTCTCTTGGGTGTTTCCAGGGGTCTCCAGCCCCCGTGATGACCTCTTGTCCTCTGCCCCTTGTTCTCTTGCTGCCAGTTGTTTCTAATTTTCTTAGCTCCCTTGCTGTCTCTCCATCTCTGTCTCCTTCTCCTTCTCTTCCTCAGCCCCTCCTGGCTTTCTGTCCCTCCCTGCTTAGTCTACAATTTGCTCCTCTTCATTGTCTCTTTGGCTCTATCTCCCACCATTTGTGTCCTTCTCAGCTCCTCTCACTGTCTGTCTCTTTCACTGTCTCTGGAGTCTCCCTCAGTGTTTGTCTCATCAACGCTGAATACTTCTCACTTTCTCTGTCTCTCAGCCCGTCTCTCTTTCTCAATCTGTCTGTCTGGGCCAGGGCAGAGGTGTGTGTGTTTGTGCGATGTGCATGAGTCTGGGACATGCTTGTGGTATTGGGGTTTGGGGGATGGCCTGGAGGGTTTCCTGTGCTGTTCCTCTCTGGCTCTCAGGCCCAGAGTGGAAGAGGGGGCAGGCAAGGGGTCAAGGGGAGTGGCCCTCCTCAAGGACTCTAGAGAATTGGAGGGCAGGACTCAAACCCTGAGGGCAAACAAGGCGCTTCCGCCCCATGGCTGGAGCATGACCTTGGCTAGCCCAGCTCCAGGTGGCAAATTGCACTCCATGCCCCAGGAGCCAAGAGCAACATGTGCTGGCCAGCTCTATCCCATGCCAGGCCCGGCTGGGAACATGCACAAGGCGACCACCCTGCAGGCTCTGGCCTCAGGATTCTCCACCAGGGGGCACCAACCTCCCGGCTCGTGCTGGGAGTCTGGGCTGGACTATGAGGCAGCTTGGGACTTTTGGGCCCTTCTTCTGTCTCTTGTCATTGATGATAATGGCTCACAGCTGGGGGCTGGCTGCATCCAATGTTTGTCAAGGACATGCACGTCCAGGTGCTGGAAGGTATTCACCAGCCTCCTTTCCCCCTTCCCAGCCCTCGAAATGGTGGGGTGGATGTAGTCATTCAACAAACATTTGTTGGACATCTACTATGTGAAGAGACTGAGGATGCAGCAGCGACCAAGACAAGCACAGTCTGTCCCTGCATGAGTCTGGGAGGGAGATGTCCAGAAACAGGCAAGTGAGAAAATACCAGCTCAGCTAAGATCAGACAGTAAGATGAAGGCTGGATGGAAGTAGGGTCAGGATCTGCTTCTGATGGTGAAGCCCTCTTTAAAGAGGTGACAATTGTCCTGCAACCTGAACAGGAGAAGTGGCAGCTAGCAGCTCCCTAGGCAGAGGGCGCAGGGAGTGCACAGGCCCCAAGGCAGGAGGGAGCTAGAAAGGGATGAGAGAAAGAGCAATGGAGAAGGTGAAATCAGAGAAGTGGACAGCGGGCAGATCTGCAGGGCCTTGCAGGCCAGGTAGGAGTTGGGCTATGGAGGTAAGAGTGACGGGGAGCTATAATGGGTTTGGGACAGAGGTAGTGCCCACACCTCAGGACCCTGCCCCCAACCTCCTTTCCAGGCCTCGCTGCACCTGGAATGTGGAGATCCCATGTTACCAAACTCAGGTCTGGCTGCCTGCCCCCTCAAGAAGGAAAGAAAAAGACTCAGAAGTCAAATGGTTAGTGTTAATAAAAGCAGATGTATTCAGCGGAAGGAGATGGTAGGCTATCCCATCTCAAAGACTTAAGTATACTGAGCAGTCTTTTTTTGTCTTTTTTTTCATGACCGGTAAGGGGGTCGCAACCCTTGGCTTGGGGTCACCTGCACTGCGCTCAGCCAGTGAGTGCACCGGCCATTCCCATATAGGATCTGAACCCGCGGCGGGAGCGTCACTGTGCTCCCAGCGCTGCACTCTCCCGAGTGCGCCACGGGGCCAGCCCTACTGAGCGGTCTTTTTAGAGGGGGTTGAGAGAATGAAACATGGGAAGTGAAAAGCAGGAGAGAAGGGAACATGAGCTATGAGGGGTCCATGTCTAGGAGTCAGGTGCAAAGTCTCTCCAAGGCCTCTGTTCTCATGTTCACTGTTTTCTCAGGGCCCTGCAAGACTTTGATTTGCTCCAGAATGGAATCAATTTCTCTGCAAAGCTTTTCAAGTATTTTTGCAAAGCTCTGGTTAACTTGGCTGATGCCCAAAGTCAACTTCCAGACATTTGGCCTTGATCACTTTTCAAAACTCTACAAGTCTTAGAGAAAGAACTGTGAGCTTTGCAAAGTACTGATTTGCTTCTCAGCCTTGTTTTCTATTTAGCAAGCAAGATAAGAAAAGTCAGGGGATGGGAAGAAAGAGTGAAGAAATTAAAAAACTGTGCTTTTAAAAATCCCCCCCCCTTGAAGCACAGGTGGTTTTAGGTCCAACATGACTGCTCACTCCAACACCCACCCCACAATCCCCTTCCAATCTGTAGAGGGGGAAACCGAGGTGTCAGAGCCAGGCCAGGAGCCCAGACCAGGCTTGTCCCTCCCTCCCTGCACCCTGCACATCTTCTCCCTCTCTCATCCTGTCCCAGTGGGATTTTGTTTCCCTTAAAATCTATTATAAAAATGTACAGATGGCAGGTCGCAATGTATCACCCTAGTGTTCCCAACCCAAATACAGAGGGGTTAACTTTTATGGGCTGAATTGTGTCCCCTCAAATTCATATGTTGAAGCACTAATCCCAATACTTCAGAGTGTGACTGTATTTGATAGTCTTTATCTTTGTTTTTTTGGTGGCTGGTGGGTAAGGGGATCCGAACCCTTGACCTTGGTGTTATAACACCGTGCTCTAACCAGCTGAGCTAACTGGCCAGCTTGGAGATAAGTCTTTAAAGAGGTAATTCAGTTAAAATGGGGTCTTTTTTTTTTTTCCTTTTTGTCTTTTTTCGTGACCGGCAATGGATCGCAACCCTCAGTGTTGCGCCTGTACCGGACCGGGACCGGCAACGGGATTGCAACCCTCGGTGTTGCGCCCGCACCTCGCTCAGCCAGTGAGCGGCTGGTCTGTAAGTGGGATCCGAACCCTCGGCAGGAGCGCCACCGCACTCCCAAGCGGCGCACTATAGCAGTGCGCCACCGGGCCGGCCCTAAAATGGGGTCTTTAGGGTGAGCCCTAATCCAATCTGACTGGTGTCCTTATAAAAAGAGAAGGACACACACACAGATGAAAGACCACATGACACAGAAACAAAAAACTCCACAATTATTCTCTTGCCATTCTGGGAGTCAGAAGTCCAAAATGGGCTTTATAGGCTTAAAACAAGGTGTTCTCTTCTGGGGGCTCTAGGAGACAACCCCAAAAGACGGCCATCTACAAACCAAGGAAAGAACCCTCAGAAGACACCAACCCTGCTGACACTTTGATATTGGATTTTCAGTCTCCAGAACTGGAAGAAAATATGTTTCTGTTGTTTAAGCCACCCAGTCAGTGGTACTTTGTTATGGCAACCCAAGCAAATTATTATAATGAGTGTAGTAATTATCCATGCTGTATAACAAATTACCACAAACACAATAGCTTAAAACGACATCCACAAGTTATCTCACAGTTTCATGGGCCAGGAGTTTAGGCATCACGGCTTAGCTGGGTCCTTTGCTCAGGGTCTCATAAGGCTGCAATCCAGGTGTTGGCCAGGGCTGCGATCTCATCTGAGGTCAGGGTCCTCTCCCAAGCTCTCATGGCAAAATTAATTTTCTTACATCTAGAGAACCCATGGAGGCTCATGTCTTCAAGGCCAGCAGGAGAATCTCTGATGCATCGCATCTCTGACCTCTAGATGAAATTTTAAAGGACTTGACTGATTTGATCAAATAAATCCAGGATAATCTTCCTATCTTAGCCAGGGTTCTCCAGAGAAACAAAAACAGAATCAATAGGATATCTTTATCTGCCTGTCTATGTATCTATCCATCTATAGATCTATCATCTACTGATCTATCATCTATCGATCTAGCTATCTATAGATCTATCTGTAGATTTATCTATCTAGAGATCTATCTATCTATTGATCTCTCTACCTATCTACCTAGATGCATAGATAACAACAGCGAGATATTGATAGATATATCAATACACATACATCTCTTCAGAAAGAGATTTATTATAAGGTATTGGTGTGTGTGATTATGGAGGCTGAGAAGTTCCATAATCTGCTGCCGGCAGGCTGGAGACCTAGGAAAGGCAGTGGCATAGTTGGAGGGCCTAAAAACCAGAGAGCCAATGGTGTAGATTCCACTTCAAGTCTGAAGTCCTGAGAATCAGGACCCCTGAGGTCAGGAGAAGATCAATGTTCCAGCTCAAGCCCTTAGAGATCAAATTCCACCCCTTTCCACAGATTGGATGATGCTCATCAACATTGGGGAAGGCCACCTGCTCAGTCTGCCAGTTAATCGCTTCTGGAAAAACCCTTACAGACACACCCTGAATAACGTTTAACCAGATATCTGGGTGCTATGGATTGAATGTCTCCCCAAACTCACTGAAATTTAAATTGTGTCCCCCAAAGTTCCAGGTATTGGAAACTTGGCCTCCACTGTGACAGTGTTGGGAGATTGGGAAATCCTATTGTTTTGATTAAAGGTTGGACCTTGAGGAAGTGATTAGATTGTAGGACTATGCTGTAATAAATGGATTAATAATGGTGGTCAGGGGTGTAGTTCTGAGGGCTTTAAAAGGAGAGCATGTGAGAGTTTCTCTGCTCCACAGTTTTCTGTTATGTGAGACCCCTGCATTGCTGTAAAGACACTACCAAGGAAGACCTTCACCAGATGTGTTTCCCTGGACTTTGGACTTCCCAGCCTCTAAAACTGTAAGCAATAAATTTCATTTTCTCACAATTACCCAGTTCTAAGTATTTTGTTATAAGCAACAGAAATGGAGTAATACATTAGGCATCCCATCCAGTCAAGTAGAGACATAAAATTAACCATCATATTTCCCTTTGATTAACTCAAAGTCAATTGAGTAGGAGTTGTAATTGCATCTACTAGGACTTCTCCACCTTTGCCATACAACATAACCTATCACAGGAGTGATGTTCACCATATCCACAAGCCCTGCCCACCTGAAGTAAAGGAACTTATATAATGGCATGAGTGACCGGAGATCATCACAGATGGTGGTGGGCACTCTTGGGGAGGGGACTTAGCATGTGTCTGTCCCTGTCCACATTTTTATACTCAAAACAAAGGAGTCTGTTTTCCCTGTACAAATGGGAACTGTATCATTGCCTCCTCCAGGGAGGACCAATCCTGAGTTGGAGCCTGCCTGGGGGACTTGGGAAACTGTCCGTGAGGTTGTAAAAATTCCCTCATTCAACAAACAAGTACTGTGTGCTTCTTGATCAGGCCCCACACTGGTTGTTCACAACACTTGGGTGGCAAAGATAGATCAGGTCCTTGCTGTCCTGGAACATAGGTAAATGCTGCTAAAAATGTAAAATGGAACCCCGCCTAGCATAGGGGCTTTTCCAGCAGGAGATGGGCAGGATGGGTTAGGGGTAGAAGAGCCTTCTGGTCTGAGAAACAGCATGCAGAATGGCCCTTAGGCTGAAGGGGATTGCCTTGGCATAGTGGCTCTTAACTACTGGATATTTGGCTATGTGTGGAAACATCCTGGGTTCTCATAAAGGAGGGTGTGTGTGTGTTGCTACTGGTACCTAGTGGGTGGAGGCCAGGAATACTGCCGACCACCCTACAATTGATAACAAAAAAAATCTGCTCTGACCAGATCACCTAAATTATAGTGCCTTGGGAGATCTGGGATAAGTCAGTAGTCATGTCCACCTGTCCTGCAAAACGTTATCATATGACCATTTTTACTTAGAAGCAAACATGATGGCACCAGAAAGGCACAGAATATCCTAGAATGCTTCTTGTAACCCTTACCCTACCTAGATCCCTGCATTTACAATGTATCCTAGTAACAATCCCAAATCTATAAGTCATGTACAACCAATAGAAAAACTGATGAAGTGATTAGAAGGGCTGTCCTTTTCCCTCTCTCCTTTGATTCTTCCCCCTTCTTGTGATTATACAATGCTAAGCTCTGCTGGACCCCTTCGGAGCGCATTTTTCATGGTGTCCTGATCTATGTGTTTTCCCCGGTTGCAATAGTCATATTGGCTCAATAAATCTCGCTATATGTGTTTGGTCTCAGTTTCTTTCTAGGTAAACCCAATGCACAGGACATCCTCCAAAGTAAATAATGCTTCATCCTAAATGTCACTAGTGCCCTGCTTGAGAAATCCTGCGTTGGACGAGCCGCAGAAAAACCAGTGCGGCTCGAATGCTGAGGCCAGCTGGGGATCTGGGGCTGCTCAGTCTTCCCCTAAAACTTCAGGCGTATAAGGAAGGAGGCTCCGAATCCCGGGTTCCCTGGGTGGCCCCCAGCAGGGATTAGGTTCCCGCAGCGTCCGCACGAGGGTGCACTCAGAAGACGCCCCCAAACCCTGAGCACTTTGGACCTCAGTAGGGCGGGAATCACTTCGGGCCTCAGCTTCCCCGTAGGAGCGACCACACCCTTGGTTTGCGGGGCCTGCTTCTGAACCGCACTGTCTGGGAGGAATTTTTCTACAGATGAGAGTGAATCGGGACTAATAAAGGAAAACGTAAGACCCCGTGTCTGGACCCGGCCGTCCCTGGACTTGGCTGACCCGGGCCACCGCCGCCGGGACCTGATAGTTGGGGTCCGGGACTACATCTGAGAGAACTACAACTCCCAGGATGCCCCGCGCCACCAGTGTTCGGATGCGCTTCGAAGCGACGGCGGCCAATGGGAGGGGCCGGGGAGGAGACTCGGCGTACGTGCGTCATGACGCGCCGACTGCGACGTCTGGGTTTGTGTGCGCGAGAGGCCGCTGATAAAGGTTGGGTGCCTCGCGCCGGGGACCGTTGGGAGGGAGCGCGCCCCTGCCCCGCCCCCCTTCCCGGCCCCGGCTCCTGCAGGGCCGTTGCCGGGGCCTCACCTTCCCGTCGGCCCCTGCGGGAAGGTCCCGGGGCTTTTCTCCCTCGTTCCCCCGATCGGGGCCGCAGGTGAGAGACTGGAGGGGTGGGAGTGGGGGGAGGGACCGAAGGGCGGAGACGTTGAGGAATCGGCGAGCGTGGAACCGGAAGGGGTGCCTTAAAGGGAAGGTTGCTATTTTACTACCGACTTTTGTCCTGAGGGCTGGCTCCACCCTTTTAAAGGGCAAGGGGCTGCAATTAGAGGGAGGAGCAGGCTTTGCATTTTACAAAACTTCCCGCCTTCTGAAAGGGGATTGTTTCAGTAACAGTTAGTGAGTTTCCCAGACATTGAGGGAAAAACTCCTGTATCTTGGTTGCTTCAAAGCGATCCCTACTTTCGCTCTACAAAGGTGGAGATAGGTATGCAGTACGAGAATCTTCTTAAAGGGGAAGTCTAGCCCGCTGGAAGGGTGTGGTCCGGCCTTTTAAAGGAGATGCTCTCTATTTGCAAAGATGGGTCCCCGCTCTTCCAGGGCACGGATATCTCTTTTTGAGGAGATGCCCGGCCTTCTCAAAGGCACGTGCAGCTTCTTGGGATCATTAGTCTCTTAAAAGGACTTGCTTACATCTTAAAGAGGTCACTCATCTTTTTAAAAGGAAATCCAAATAGCCAGTCCAAAGGGGATGCCCAGCCTTCGTTCATTCAAAATATGTTTATTGAGCGCACACTCTGCCAGACTATTGTAGGCACTGAGATACAAAGGTCCCTGTTTCCATGGTGTTGACCGTCTAGCATGGAGAATAGGGCAGGCAGCACTTTTGTTATATAGCGGTGGTTCTAAAATGGGGGCCATACTGCTCCACAGAGCAACATTGCAGCAAAGACTTGGAAGTGCAGGAATGAGCTTTGTGGATACTGTAGAGAAGGGCTTAATAGGCAACATCTGGAGACAGTTAGGTTGTTACAACTGCAGGGTTGTGGTTGCCAGTGGCCAGAGATGCTGCTAAACACTCTACAATGCACAGGAGCCCTCCTTGACAAAGATTGGTCTGGCTCCAAATCTCAGTACTACTGAGGTTGAAAAAGCCTGGCTGTGTAGTACATTAGAAGGTGATAAATGCTATGGAGGAAAAAAAGAGGCAGGAGAAGAGAATAGGGAGTGTTGAAAGGAATTGTAGATTTAAATAACATGGTCAGGGAAGGTCTCACTGAGGGGTTTCAGAAAAGACTTGGAGATGAGGTAGAGAGCTGTGGAGGCTGGAGGGAAGGGGGTACTAGGCAAGTGTCTGCAGGTGGGAGCAGGCCTGCCTAGTCAGGCTGGGTGGCTAGAGTGATATGACGGACAGAAGGCCAGCAGAACAAGTCAAGGAGGACATGAGGCCACAGGCTGTTGGAAGTCAACAGGCTCCAAAATGGGAGCTGTGGGGTAGGAAGGGCAAGGGTGGAAACAGAGAGATGTGTTAGGAGGCCATTGGCAGGAGGCCTAGGAGAGAGATGGTGGTGTCTCAGACGAAAGTGGGGGCCTTGTGAAAAGTGGCCAGATTCTGAATATGTTCCATTTGGAACGCAGGCATCTGCTGACAGATTGGTTATAGAGCGTGAGAGAGGTGAGGAGGACCCAAAGCCTTTGGTTTGAGGAAGAATAGAGCTGCCCTTTTCAGAGGTGGAAAAGACTATGGGTCAAGTTGGGTTTGTTTGTTTTTGTTTTTGGTGGGGTGGAGGGAAGCAGGAGCAAAAAACTGGCGTTAGATTTTGTGCATGTTAAGTTTGAGGTGCATATTAGGCATCCAAATGGCACAGTCTAGCAGGGGGTGTGGAGTTCAAAGAAGAGGTGTAGGGGTCATATAGAGTTACACATGTGGAGTCATCTTGTTTATAGGTTGTAAAGTCCTGAGAGTGGGTGAGGGATTCTAGGGAGAGAGTGTAGATAAAGAAGCAGACCATAGGTTCACTGAGCCATGGGCTCTCCCACATTTAGAAGTCAGGGAGATGAGAAGGAACCAGACCAGAGACTGAGAAAGGGTGACAAGTGAAGGAGGAGGAAAACAGGAGAGTGTGGTATCCTGGAAGCCAAGGGGAGGTGGTTTAAGCAAGGTGTGACTCAGTGAGCCCTTGCAGACTGAGCAGAAGGAATTAGTACCATGGAGGCCAGAGGTGGAGTAGTGGGGACATGTATATGACCAAAGTGGTTTGAGTTGGGAAAGGGCAGGTTGACACTTTTGAGTTGCTTTGTTATAAAGGGTGGATTTGTTTAAGCTCAACAACCCTAAAAGGCAGCTATTACTCCCATTTTTCATGAAATAATGTTAGAGAAGTTATAAATTCCTCAAGTAAGTGGTGGAGCTGGAATTCAAGCCCATAAGCACATAACTTGGAGACGATTCTCACCAGGAAGGACTGGGACACGTAAAGGCATCACTCTGTAGAGACAGACAGGTCTGGGGACCAGATCATCACTGCAGTGCTTGTCGGAATTTGCCTTGGCTAAGAGCATATGAAAACCTCAGACAAACAATTGGCTTCTCCCCTTGTTTTCTCTCTCTCCACTCCTTGCTGAATTCTCTGGAAATGAAAGTTTGTAAATCGTAGGCAGAAAACACCGCACAAGGGCCACATACTAAACGCATGCATAACCGCTGCTTTCAAAGGCAAAACACAAAGGAAAAGGCAGCAGGAAGTCAGTCTCCGCACGAAGGCAGGGTGAGCGAACCGGCCATCCCTATATGGGATCCGAACCCGGGGCCTTGGTGTTATCAGCACCGCACTCTCCCGAGTGAGCCACTGGGCCGTCCCAGAGTTTTTTAAAAAGATGGGAGACATAGCTTGTGGGTATGCTGATGGGAATGGTGCAGGAGATGAGGAAAAATTGAGAATGTAGGTGGGGGGCCAGAGTCTGTAGGCACAGGGTTAGACAGATAGGTAGTGCAGGGTTGCTCAACCTTTTCACCACTGACATTTTGGACTGGTCATTCTTTGTTGTAGGGCTGCCCTGTGCATTGTAGGGTGTTGAGAAGCATCCCTGTTCTCTACCCACCAGAAGCCAGCAGCACCTGCCTCTCTAGTTGACAATCAGACAACTAAAAATGTCTCCAGGAATTGCCAGATGTCCCCAGGGGTGGAAGGCACAGTTGCCCCAGTTGAGAACTACTAGTAAAGTGGTTGGAACGTGAGAACATTCTCTTCTGATTGCTTTTATTTTCTTCAGTGATATGATTAATGGCGTTTGCCTGCTAAGAGCAAGAGGGGAAAGAAGGTGCTGGAAGTTTGAGGAGAAAAGCATGCCAAGTAGTCACCTGGGGCAGTGCACGGACCAGAAAAATGAAGCCATGCAGGGCAAAGGTGATTCTTGGGCATGAATGCAAAGTGAGAGACTGAGGCCAGGCAGTTTTGGGGGTAGGCGAGGGAGTTACTGTAATGGTCACCCACAGCATTTATGCTGGCTAAGGTGGGAAGCGAGGATGTGGATGGTGACAGAGGGTGCAGAGTCCACAGGATCAGTGGATCGTAGATCTGATGGAGTGTAGGGATTTGGGAGTTAGAGTACAAAGAGGAAGTGAACTGGAAGGCTGGATGGCGGTGGAGAGTGGGATGCTCAAGGCTAAGATCACGAAAAGGCTTTAATTAGACTGAAAAGGTTTAGGATATGGCAGTGGGAGTGAGTGTTGAAGCAGGGTGTTGGATAATGTCTTGAGAGGGATAGCAGTCAAGGAACAAGGCCAGGATATTGGAGAGATCCCCTGCTTGTTTGCTTCAAGGACACTGCCTATCTTTAGAAGAAATGAACATAGTCCTAAACACAGTGCTTAGCTTCTTCTCCAATCTGTCCAGCCTCCTGAAGGAGATGTCCAGCATCCTAAGGAGGGTGGCGAACTTGTCCAAGTTTGCTGGGACGTTTCTGTTTTTAGCACTCACATCCCAGGCATCCCTTCAGTCCTGGAAAAGTCTTGCATCCCAGGCATCCCTTCAGTCCTAGAAAAACCTGAACTGTTGGTAACTCTCATCCTAATGGAGGTCCCCTGAAGCGTGGGTGACCAGGGGAGGTGGCCCCTGTCACTTAAAGGGCCCGAGTATGGGTTTGGGATTGAGATGATTCAGTGTGTGGGCAGAGGTGAGGGTGAGTGCCAGCCCATCCCTGACCCAGAACCTCTCTCCCAGGTGTGATGGTAGGCTCACACACGGACATGGCACCTGCCTCTACAGCGGAGGGGTCTGGGGACAAGCCCGGTCCTGCAGCCCCCGCCCCAGCGGCCCAGTATGAGTGTGGGGAGTGCGGCAAGTCATTCCGGTGGTCCTCCCGGCTCCTGCACCACCAGCGCACGCACACTGGAGAGAGGCCCTACAAGTGCCCGGACTGCCCCAAGGCCTTCAAGGGCTCCTCAGCCTTGCTTTACCACCAGCGGGGCCACACTGGCGAACGGCCCTATCAGTGTCCCGACTGCCCCAAGGCCTTCAAGCGCTCCTCCCTGCTGCAGATACATCGCAGTGTGCACACGGGTTTGCGGGCCTTCATCTGCGGCCAGTGTGGACTGGCCTTCAAGTGGTCATCCCACTACCAGTACCACCTGCGGCAGCATACAGGCGAGCGGCCCTACCCGTGCCCGGATTGCCCCAAGGCCTTCAAGAACTCGTCCAGCCTGCGGCGCCACCGCCACGTGCACACGGGTGAACGACCCTACTCCTGCGGCATCTGCGGCAAGAGCTTCACACAGAGCACTAACCTGCGGCAGCACCAGCGCGTGCACACGGGTGAGCGGCCCTTCCGCTGCCCGCTCTGCCCCAAGACCTTCACGCACTCCTCCAACCTGCTGCTGCACCAGCGCACCCACGGTGCCACCCCTGCCCCGGACCCCACCCCTGCCTCCGCAGCCTCGCCCCCTCAGCCTCGCGAGCCCTGCAGAAGCGGCAAGGTCTTGGTGTCTGACGCCTACCTGCAGCCGCAACTCCAGTCCCACAGCCCGCCTGCGCCCCCGGCCCCACCGCCCCCGCCCCCGCCGGTGGTTCCCGAGCTCTTTTTAGCTGCGGCTGAGACCACGGTGGAGCTGGTGTACCGCTGTGACGGCTGCGAGCAGGGCTTTGGCAGCGAGGAGTTGCTCATGGAGCACCAACCATGCCCTGGGCCCGAGGCGGCACCCCAGCGCCAGGACACATCCGCTGAGACGCCCAGGGCTGACCCCCCGCCGTTACTGTCCCCGCCGTCCCCTCTACCGCAGCCCCCTCCTGCCACTGCTGCTGCCACCCCTGGCTTTGCCTGCCTCCCCTGTGGGAAGTCCTTCCGGACAGTGGCAGGCCTCTCCCGCCACCAGCATAGCCACGGGGCGGCTGGTGGGCAGGCGTTCCGCTGCGGCAGCTGCGACGGTGCCTTCCCACAGCTGGCTAGCCTCCTGGAGCACCAGCAGTGCCACGTGGAAGAGGCGGCAGCAGGGCGCCCGCCCCCTCAGGCCGAGGCCGCAGAGGTCACCTGTGCACAGGAGCCGCTCGCGCCTGCTGCCCCGGCCTCCCTGCCGCCCCACCCCACCCCGGCTTCCGCAGAGCGGCCCTACAAATGTGCTGAGTGTGGCAAAGCCTTCAAGGGCTCCTCAGGGCTGCGCTACCACCTGCGGGACCACACCGGTGAGCGGCCCTACCAGTGCGGCGAATGCGGCAAGGCTTTCAAGCGCTCCTCCCTGCTGGCCATCCACCAGCGAGTGCACACGGGTCTGCGGGCCTTCACCTGTGGCCAGTGCGGCCTCACTTTCAAGTGGTCATCTCACTACCAGTACCACCTGCGGCTGCACTCCGGCGAGAGGCCCTATGCCTGCGGGGAGTGCGGCAAGGCCTTCCGCAACACATCATGCCTGCGGCGCCACCGCCACGTGCACACAGGTGAGCGGCCCCATGCCTGCAGCGTCTGCGGCAAGAGCTTCGCCCAGACCTCCAACCTGCGGCAGCACCAGCGCGTGCACACGGGCGAGCGGCCCTTCCGCTGCCCGCTCTGCCCCAAGACCTTCACGCACTCCTCCAACCTGCTGCTGCACCAGCGCACCCACTCAGCCGAGCGCCCCTTTGCCTGCTCCATTTGCGGTCGCGGTTTCGTCATGGCCGCCTACCTGCAGCGACACCTGAGGACGCACGCCCCAGCCAACAGGGCTTCCAGCACCACAGCCCCCGCTGCCGGCCCCCAGCCCCCTGCCCCATTGGCTGCCACCCCAGCCCCACAGGCCACCCAAGATGTCCATGTCCTCCCCCACCTCCAGGCTACACTCTCCCTCGAGGTGGCCGGGGGTACGGCCCACGCCCCCACCTTGGGCCCAGCAGCCCCCAACTCCCAGACGTTTCTCCTGGTGCAGACTGCTCAGGGCCTCCAGCTGATCCCTAGCAGCGTCCAGCCCCCTACACCTCTGCCACCACCGGCAGCCCCCAAGCTCATCCTGCTACCGGCCTCCAGTGCTGGGGGTGGGGGTGGGGGCAACCGTGCAAGGCAGGGCCCCCGGGCGGTGGGGAAGGCTGGTCAGGGGACAGGGGTAGTCTGGCTGCCAGGCCCTGGAGGTCTGGGGATACAGGGAGGGGGCAGTACAGGGGCCAGCGGGGGAGGGCAGGGCCTCATTGTTCTGCAGAATGTAGTGGGTGGGGAGGCGGGGCTGCAAGAAGTGAGTGGGGTCCAGCTCCAGCCACTCCGGTCAGCCCCGGAAGTGACCGCGGTCCAGCTACAGCCGGCACAGGAAGTGACCACGGTCCAGCTCCAGCCGGCACAGGAAATGACCACGGTCCAGCTCCAGCCTGCACAGGAAGTGACCACGGTCCAGCTCCAGCCTGCACAGGAAGTGACCACAGTTCAGCTCCAGCCCGTGGCTAGCCAGCTCTCCAATTCCAGTGGGGGAGCTATGACTGCTGAGGCCCCCAACCTGCTGGTTGTTCAGAGTGGGGCAGCTGAGGAGTTGCTCACCGGCCCAGGTTCTGGTGAGGGTGGGGATGGTGAGGCCAGCAGTGGTGTGGTCCAGGATGTCCTCTTTGAAACACTGCAAATGGATGAGGGGTTGCAGAGTGTGCTGGTGCTGAGTGGCACAGATGGGGAGCAGACCCGCCTCTGTGTACAGGAGGTAGAAACCCTTCCACCTGCACTGACTGAGCCGCCTGCCCCTGGCCCTCCAGGACAGAAACTCCTCATCATTCGCAGTGCCCCAGCCACTGAGCTGCTGGAGAACAGCAGCGTTGGGGGAGGCACTGCCACTCTGCAGCTCCTGGCCTCACCACCACCTGGCCCAGCCTCTGCCCCTGCAGTGCTTCCGGCGGCTGCCACTCCCCAGATGGTACAAGTGGTCCCTGCAGGAGCTGGGCCTGGGGTCATGACCCCACAGGGCCTGCCTTCTATTCAGATTGTCCAAACTCTACCCGCAGTCCAGCTGGTGCACACATTTTGAGGAGAACCACTGGTACCTCTTCCCGCTGCATACAGAGACCCTCACTCACTGCCGTGGCTGGGCTGGGAGGGGAGCTGCAGGCTGGGCTTGCTAATAAAGTCCCAGAATCTTCTTTCCTTTGTTTTGTTTTCTTCGGGGGAGTGGGATGGGAGAAAAGGGGCAGTGTCATGGTCATTGCCCCTGCCTGGGAGCTTGGAGTCCTAACTCTTGCTTCCTGGATCACAGATGACTTGCTTTGTGTCTTGGGGCCAGTCACTTCTATGTGGGACCCAGTTTCCCTTTTCTTATATATATATATATATATAAAGGGACGCAGTGGTTACCATAGTTGGGAGGCGTTGGAATCAGAATCTTGGTTCTGTCACCCCTCTCCTGATCTGAAAAATGGGTAGGGAGAGAATGGCACTGCAAGCCCGGGCGCCCCGTGGGTTGGGGTGGAGGTCCCTGGGGCAGGGACACTTCGGTGCTAGTGGGCTCAGGATGCTGAGCGGTCCCCGGCCTCTACCGAAAAGGCTCCCGCACCAATGAGAATAGATCCGCTTCCATCACCGCCCCTTCCTCGCGCTCAGGTTGCTTAGCAACTAGGGAATATCGGCTGCAGCTTTTTCTAACCCTCCGCGGGCCGGGTAAATACCGCTCCCGGTCCCTTCTTCCCCCGTGTCTGCTCCGGTTTCCCCTGCTCTCTTTTCCCCATTGCTCCTCCAGGGATCGGAGAGGTCACCCCCAACCTTCCCTCCGCCCCCCGCAGTGTCACAGCTCCCGGCCTCCGTTCCTCGCCAGCCGACCCCATTCTTCTACCGCCCCCCAGCTGGCGAAGGTTGGCAACAGTTGCTAAGGCCGAGAGCCGGCGCCGCCCCGCACCCCGCGACGCGCGCGAGTCCGCACGTCACTTCCGCCGGCGCCCCCTTCCCGACCCTGCTCCCCCCCACACCTTGTCAAAGGATTGAAGCGACCCGTGGAGGTGGTTTCAAGTCCTTGCTCTTGTGACGCGGGAGGAAGACGACTGTGGGGGAGAGGGGCGCTGGGGACTGGGGAGGAGACAGTAATGGTCCGTTCTTTGGGGTTTGTGGACCCCCAGGGCAGCCCCGGTGCCTGGGAGGGAGCCCCGTGCTGCAAGGTGTTGGCAGCCACAGCGCATTTAGGAGTAAAGAGCTGAATCCCGGGAGACTTTAAAAGGTCGCTGGGTAAGGGGGCAGGAGGCACCTGTCCCGCACGGTACTCGCTAGGGGACTCCGGAAGATCCTCAGTGTCCTGATCTGGGAAATGCTGCTGCTGCTTTCCACACCTTCGGGGGCTTTGGGGACAGAGGTGTCCACCTGACGCTGACGTACTTGTGTTTTCACCAGGTGCACGACGCCAGCTCTCTTCCTGGGGGGTGGGGGCCTGGGGGCTGCCATGGCCCCCAGCCACCTGTCAGTGCGGGAGATGAGGGAAGATGAAAAGCCCCTGGTGCTGGAGATGCTGAAGGTGAGAGGCCCTGAAGGGGCACCAGTGAGCTTGGGGGTGGCCAGGGGTGGGGGTGTTAATAAATGGGTTCAGCCACCCGCCTCCCACACACCTGAGCCAGCCAAGATCTCTCCAGGGGGATCTTTTCCTCCTAAGCTACTTCCTTGCATGGCCCTTTCTCTCTGTAGTGCCTTTGTCCTACCCGAACATCAGCCATCCTGGGAGCCAAGAAGGTTTTTAGCAGCTAGAGGGGTGTGGGGGTTGGGTGTTCATTCCCCTGACTCCAATTGGACCGTGGCACCAACTCCCTCCCTGGTCTCCCTGCATCCGTTCTGTCCTACATGCCCGCCCAAGAGCCCACTCTGTGCCTCCTATTCCAAATTCTTCAAAGCAGAGCCCATGCCTCAGCCTGTCTCTGCAGCTTCCTCCTCCAGCTTCCACTCCTGCCGTCCCCTACTCTAGTTCCCCCACCATGTTCCAGCCTCCTCACCCTTCAAAGGTAACTTCCCTGGTGCCTCACTCCAGCATCTCCACTGAATTGAGTGACCCCACAGCTCCTAATTCACTCATTCACTCACTCATTCATAGATCATCCATTCATTCTCTTATTCATTCTTTCACTCAACCCTAATGTTCCAGACTTGTGACTTTCTAATCATGCAGACTTCCCTTCTCATTTGACAGCCCCCCACCCCTGTCTCAGGCAGGATCCACCTCCTCTCCTAGTCCTGGGGACCCTAGTGTAATGGATGGCTGAGCCCCACCCCCCTCCTGCCCACAGGCTGGCGTGAAGGATACAGAAAACCGCGTGGCCCTCCACGCCCTGACGCGGCCCCCGGCCCTGCTCCTCCTGGCTGCGGCCAGCAGCGGCCTGCGCTTCGTCCTGGCCTCCTTTGCCCTGGCTCTCCTCCTGCCAGTGTTCCTGGCAGTGGCGGCTGTGAAGTTGGGCCTGCGTGCACGGTGGGGCTCACTGCCTCCACCGGGTGGCCTGGGGGGTCCCTGGGTGGCCGTGCGGGGCTCTGGCGATGTGTGTGGGGTCCTGGCCTTGGCCCCAGGCACCAACGCAGGGGATGGGGCCCGGGTCACCCGCCTCTCTGTCTCTCGTTGGCACCGTCGCCGGGGTGTGGGCAGGAGGCTGTTGGCCTTTGCTGAGTCGCGGGCTCGAGCATGGGCAGGGGGTATGGGGGAGCCCCGGGCCCGGCTGGTGGTCCCAGTGGCTGTGGCCGCTTGGGGGGTGGCAGGGATGCTGGAGGGCTGTGGTTACGAGGCCGAGGGCGGCTGGGGCTGCATGGGCTACATGCTGGTGAGGGACTTCAGCAAAGACCTGTGACTCCAGGCCCCTGAGCAAGGGAAGGGAACTTCCCTTCACCACAGCCTTCTGGGGAGGATGGAGAGGGAGGGAGGGAAGGAGGGAAGCCAACACCTAATGAGCGCCTACTGTGTGCCAGGCACTTCTACATCCACTCCTTTGGTGACTCCCCAGCCCACTCAGGGCCCAGAAACTGAGGCCTGCAGAGGGCAAGAGACCTCACCAGAGCAGCCTGACATCTGCCCATTTGCCCACAGTGTGAAGTCTGTAGTGTTTGAACTTCTCAGAGTGGAGTGAATCCCTCTTTCCCTTCTTGAGCACAGGTCAGCCTGTCCAACCCCTGCCTCAGATTCTGCCTGCACTGAGAAATCTGCCTGGTCCATCTGTCTGCAAAGCTTGTACTGTTTGTGCTATAGCCCTGGGAGATATATTTGGGGCGGGGGGAGAGAAGACTGAGCAAGTATGTGCCAAGAGAGGAGAGAATTAGGATTTAGCGCCCCTAAAGGGAACAAGGTCTCCCTGGGAATGGGGAGGGGTTGGATGCCTGTCCTTGGAGGGGATGAGTGTGCTGAGGCCAGTGGCAGGCACCTTTACAGGGGAGGTTGACTGCCCTGGGGAGTAGGGGCCAGGGCCAGCCTCTCGTCGACATCTGAGAGGGGCAGCCTTCTCCCTTCCTCCAGACCCATCTGGTTTTTTACACCCGTTTGTTAATAAAGCCTGAAACTGCTGTGCGCCTGTCTCGTCTCTGATGCCTTTTCCAGTCTGTCTCTCGACCCCCACCCCCACCTTCTGTCTGGTTCCTCCTTTCCCCAAGTTGACATTAATTGTTGGTGGAGTGGGGGTGGTGGTGCTGGACTGGGAGAAGGGGAGGCAATGAGCTCACGGGCAGCCCTGGTCCCTGCCAGCTCTTCTGAGTCACCATCCCCATTACCGAATTTTTTCCACCTCACAGCTGCCTAGTGTGGAGAGGGTGTGTGTGTGTGTGTGTGTGTGTGTGTGTGCATTAGTGTGTGGAGATCCCCCCTCTCCCACCCAAGCCTTGACCCTCTTACCATTTCCCCTACCCCAGTTCTCTCTGGGGACACTTAAGTTCAAGCACTCCTTCCTCAGATGGGGGAATGGCAGCTTCACATTCAAATCCACCAGGGAGAGGGAAAATGGAGAGGGGTTTCTCAGTCTCTCTTCTTAATCCAGGAAGTCCCTCCTGGTGTCTGGCTGCAAGCCCTCTTGCTGCTGCACCAAGAGCCCCAGATCTGCCTGTACCCCAGTCCCAGCAGTGGTCCGACCATGTTTCCCTGGCTGGACAAGAAAGGAGGCAGGAGGTTGGGCACCCCATCCCGCCTGTGCTGTACCCCCACGAGCACCCCTGTTCTTTCCCTTCCCTGCAGCCTGCCATCGCCTAAGCATCTCTGAGCACAGCTTGTCTCTGGCTACAGCCTGCCTGGCCGTCTCCTGTGTGGGTGTTTGCAGTTGGACACCCTCCCTCCTGCCTGCCACCCCCTTCCTCCCCACGTCTCAGCCGCTGGCCAGCCCCCTCCCCGCCCCACCTCCTGTCCCCTGCCGCCTCCCCACAGCCTCTCTCTTCCTCCTGGCAAAGCATCCAGTCCCTGCTGCTCCTCCTTGGGTCCAGGGCGCCTTCGGCAGGCGCTTCCCTCCCTCCGTTCCTCCCTCCTGTGGCTGCCTCCTCCACCCCCCTCCTGCTCTCCTTCCCCTTTCACCCTGTCCCCTGCTCTGGACTCTGCAAACATGAGGGTCTTGGCCTGCCTCCTTGGTGAGTGATTCATTCTCCTTGGGGACTCAAGGGGCCTGGGCCCCCACTTCTGACCCCTTAGCTCACCAGTTTAGGGACTCAGACTTCTGGGACTTCAGTACCTGGTGCTTTGGAATACCCTGACATCTGGCCTGCCCTGCCTAATCTCTCAGGGACCCCACCTTCTGCATGCCCCATCCTGCCCTCTTAGGAACCCAAGGGACCTGCCCCCTGCCCTGACCCTGTGGAGAATTACCCAGCCATTTGACCTTTAGCTAAGCCTCTGGGGGAGTACAAAGGCCTTGGTCCCCAGCCCTGATTTCAGGGGCCAAACATCTGGAGCTTCACCAGTCCCAGGGACCTTCATCTTATCCCAGCCTCTGCCCAGAGTTCTGCTTCCCAGCAATAGGATTTCTGGTTCAGAGGTGTGAGAATTGTGTGTGTGTGTGTGTGTGCGTGTGTGTGTTCAAGACAAGGGGTCTGTGCTGGAGAAAGGACCACCTTGGGCCTGCCCCTCACTCTGTCCCACCCTCCAACCTCCCTTCCAGCCGCACTGGTGGGGATCCAGGCTGTTGGTAAGTGCCCCAGACACTCTTCCCATCTGGCCTCGCCCAGCTCCAAGCCTTCCTGTTCTGCCCACACCAGGCCTGGCCTCGCCCTCCTTCTGGGTCCCTGGCCACGCCCCATTCCACTAGGCTCAGCCTCTGCTCCCCCCTAGATCCCCTGGGCATCTGGGAACCAGCATCTCTCCACAATCCTGTCTGAGCATCCAGGAGTCTGGGTCCAGGGTCCAGTGACCACAGCTGCCACCTCCTGTTTGCACCCTGCAGAACAGACCTCAGCCACTTCTATCACCCTGGCCCTCAGGCCCCAGGGATGCCCCTCCCCGGGGTCATAGCCTTTCCTCCACCCCCTAGAGCGGCTGCGCCTGGCTGATGGCCCCCACGGGTGTGCTGGCCGCCTGGAGGTCTGGCACAGTGGACGCTGGGGCACCGTGTGTGACGATGGATGGGATCTTCGAGATGCCGCTGTGGCCTGCCGGCAGCTGGGCTGTGGGGGGGCGCTGGCCGCCCCCGGTGGAGCCTTCTTCGGGGAGGGCGCAGGGCCTGTGTGGCTCAGCGAGCTGGCCTGCCGGGGCAGCGAGGGACAGTTGGGCCTCTGCTCCCACCGGGGCTGGAAGGCCCATATCTGTTCTCACGAGGAAGATGCAGGCGTCGTCTGTGCAGGTGAGGAGACCGTCACCCTTCCTTCAGGGGCATCTCTTCTAGAGATGACCCAGGGACCCCAAGTCCTTAGCCCCAGTAAATCTGAGCGTCTAGCAGTCCAGAGACACCCAGCCCCTGGTTCCCTCCAAAGCCAGGTGTCTCCCTCCAACTTACAATCACTTGTTTCTGAACCCCAGAGACCCAGGTATCCCAGCCTCTGCCCCTCTCCCAGAGACCCAAATGACCTCTCTACTCCCCCTACTCTCTTCATAGCTTCTGTTCCCTCCCACAGGGCAGCGCGTGGCTAACTCAAGGGATGAGTCCACATCCCCCCTGGATGGGGACCAGTGGCTGGGGTTGTCAGGGGAGCTGAGCCTTGGATCAGAGGAGCCCCCTGTGACTCACGGTGAGCCCAGAAAACTTGGTCACCCCACCCCATCCCCTGCTCCTGCTCCGGCCATGGGGGAGAGATGTTTGCACTAAGGTTTCCCAGGGAACAGATGGGTCCCCACGGTCTCCTTTGCCTCCGAAAGAGTCTTCCATCACTTCGGACCCTTGGAAAGAGAAGCCCAGCCTCCCAAGTGGGAGGAAGGACGAGCAGCTCAGCTCCTGACCTCCTGGCTCTCTCCTCGCCCAGTTCCCCGCCCAGCTGGGAGCCTCCAGAGTGGCTCTCGGAAGAAGAGTCCCCGGCCACCCAAGCAGGCCAAGTCCACGCGGGCCCCTCTGCTGACGACGGGAGTCCCTCGCCAAGGTAAGCTCCCTGCAGGCCTCCCCCCATCACTCAAATCTGGATGCTGTGAGACTCTAGGCCCTGCCAAACTGGGGACCTGCCAGGCGCCCTCTTCTTAACCTGTGGCCCTGGAAGGATTCCCACATTCACCTCCCTCCAGGATTCAGAAAGTCAGGCCTGGTCTCCTCTTCTCCCTGCTCCCGCCCCCATCAGTAGACAAGGGTCCTGCGTGACTCAGACTGTGGCTCTCTCCCCTTAACTGGCCGGCTGACGAGTTGTCTCAGGCAACCACGCCCTCCTCGGGGCCTCAGTTTCTCCAGGTGAAAAACAAGGTGGAGAGTGTTTGAATCCGTCTCTCCCAAGCTGCAGTCAGACGAGACCCCGTCACTATCCCCCTCCCTCCCTGCGGCCCCCACAGAGCGGCTGCGCCTGGTCTCAGGCCCTCACGGGTGTGCTGGCCGCCTGGAGGTCTGGCATGGTGGACGCTGGGGCACTGTGTGTGACGACGGATGGGACCTTCGTGATGCTGCTGTGGCCTGCCGGGAGCTGGGCTGCGGGGGGGCGCTGGCCGCCCCTGGAGGCGCCAGGTTTGGGCCCGGCATGGGGCCTGTGTGGATGGACGACGTGGGGTGTGGAGGAGGAGAGCAGGCCCTCCGGGATTGTCCCCGAAGCCCCTGGGGTCGGAGCAACTGTGACCACAGTGAGGACGCTGGGCTGGTCTGCACAGGTACGTCGGGGCTGGGGGTGGTCCTCCTTCCCTGCCTTAGATCCCAGCTCTCTCTTCCCTGCTTCAGGAAGCTGCAAAGGGTCTGGTCCCAGGTCTGTCCCCCACCTGCCCCACTCTTGGCAGGTCACAACACCTGCTTTGTGGAGCTCCTCAACCCCTTCCCTCCTCTGCAGTACTAATGGAAGGAGTGGAGGTTGGAGGCTTGGGTTCAATGCTTGGCCTTGTCCCTGGGCCACTGACTGGCTCTCTGAGCCTCAGTTTCTCCAGTGGGGCAGGGGGGCTAAGAATGCCCCTTTACAGGCCTGAGCTGAGTCCCTGAGTGCCTGCCCTCTGCCACTCAGCTGGCTCGCCCATCCCTAATGCTCTCCAAGCCTCTTCAACTGTCAGGGGACCCTCTCAGGCCATTCCAGCTGGTTCCCTGAGGTCTCTTGTCTCTGTGGGCCAACATCTGCTGCCCCCTGTTCTCAAGGGAGCTGAGGTGGGAAGGAGGGAGGCAGGGTAGTGACTTCGGGGCGTGGAGGGAGACTGAGCTGGGTGGGGGGCACTGACGGGTGACCCTCTACCTCCCCTTCACACACATATGCCCCTCAGCACGGGGTCTAGCTCTCTCCTGGCGGTCCCTCCCCTCTCCGTTCTTCTTAGACCTGGGATAGAACCTGGGCAGAGGGCTGGGGCTGGGGGTGGGTTGAATGAGGGCTTAGGGGCTCCTTCCTCTCCTTTTCTTTCTCCCACATACATTCACTACACACCATCCACAGCAGGGCATGGAAACCTCATGAGAGACACCCAGTCCTCACTCTCCTGGACTTTACAGTCCGTCGACTGCAAGAGAGAAGCAGGCAAAGGGCAACGGCAGAGGCATTTGACAAGTGGTGGGGCAGGGCACGTACAGGAGGTGCCTACCCAGGCAGGGGGTAGGAAATGCGTAAATCAAATCAGTCAATGCTACAGGAAAGAGAAAAGAGAACGAGGTTGACTTGAATCCCTTCTATGTGCTGAGTGAGCAGCATGCTGGGTGCTTCACTTGGGTCCTCTCTGAGCCTCAGGACAGCCCTGTGAGGTGTATTCTTGCTCCTGTCTTCACAGATGTGGGAACTGAGGCTCAGAGAGGTAACAGAAATGACCCATGGTCATACAACTAGCAGACCCGAGACCCAGAACTTGACCCCTTTGGGTTTATTTTCTTTCTTTCTTTTTTTTAAAAGATGAGCAGTAATGGGCCGGCCCGGTGGTGCACTGGATAGTGCGCCGCTTGGGAAGCACGGCGGCGCTCCCGCCCGAGGGTTCGGATCCCACATACAGACCGGTTCCCGCTCACTGGCTGAGCGAGGCGCGGGAGCAACAC